CAATCTAAATGGATACACAACTCGGCAGCATGGCTCACAAAGCAGATCAAGTCTTTTTCCATATGGGATTGAAGATAAAATTTATCTTCAGTTACCATTCATATCAGATTGATTTAGCGCAGTTATTCAGCGATGCCTGGAAAGAGCGGATCTAGCCAATGAGGTTTTCTTGGTTAACACACCAAGAGAAAACATCAAACACCAATTGGTTAGAGATTGTCTCTATGAGCGGATTTGCATCATGGATAGCTGCGTGATCTGCTCATATGGAAAAGTAGGAGACTGCGCACAAAGAGCTGTGGTTTACCAACTTCTGTGTTTGACTTGTGATGCTTGCTATATTGGAGAAACTGAGAGACAGTTATGCGTTCGTGTAAAAGAACATCTAGCTAATGCTGTGCAAACTAGTTCGATGGTTACTTGCTGATGATCTTCGGAAGTACAACGACTGAATCATGCAATATGTAATGGATAAAATAATGATAAGGGATGCTCGACATCAACTGGCTTACGAACGCAGACAGATAGCTCAGCTTTGATATCCCGAAGTGGCTCTTATTACAACGCTGCAAGAGACTATGTTCATTGCAATGGCGTTTAGCGTTCTCCAACGGTCTATACCGATCGGTCATGGTCCCTTCACATTCATAGCACGTAACACCTCTTTTGGTGTCGATGGCATTCCTCCTGGGGTAACAAAACATTCACTAACCTTATGTGGGGATTGCATCGCCAAGGAACTTTACCAGTTGTTCAAGCTGGACCAATTCCCAGAAGGCTTCCTCGAAGCCGTGGCCATTCTTCTCTTTAAAGAAGGCGATCCTCTCAATATCAATAGTTACAAACATATTTCCCCGCTTTCAACGGCTCTCGCAGTTTTACGCGTCTGTTGGCCCACGTATGGGAGAGAAAACCATAAAATTCTTCTCAAAAGAACGAGCAGGCTTTAGATGCGACTTTTCCAGCACTCATGATCACATTGTGTTCGTAAGTTTACTATTAGAAAACATGTCGAGAATGGGGAAAACCGCTCCACATGGTCTTCGTCGAGTTCCAAGAGCTTTTGATACCATTGAATTCGAGGCCATTCGCAATGAGTGCACTGTTCGCATGAAAGAGCAGTTATATGCTGTTGGAGGGACACTTCTTGTCTCGGGCTCTAAAGAGGGAGAGATTGGTACCCAAAAAGGTGTGCGATACGGTGATCCGTTATCTCCTTTGCCGTTTTTTCTGACACTACAGATGTGCCTCGAGGAAAAGCAATTGGGATGGTCAAGGTCACCCCATTGAACGACATCATCTCAACTACCTTGCCTATGTCGACGATGTTTTCATGTTTTCGACAACCGTTGCTGGTTTGCAAGATATACTCAACAAACTCGTTGAAACTAGCAAGTAGAAAGTAGAAATAGAGTTGGTGTCGTGATTCGTGTTTTTGGGCCAACTTCTGTGCTACCTCTAAGATAGCGAACGAGAAATCACTAGAATGATCAACGCGGTGGATCGTTAGCAGAAGAGTTTACACTCTGTTGAAGATTCGATTGACGCCTCTTAAGACTGACGCCCATCGAAATCGGCACAGGATCGTATCGAAAAATGTCAGCGACTTATATAGCGCCAGGTAATTTGTGTTCTGCTAATCGACGAAGTATCTATTATAATATTATCGTACGAGAAAAGACGAATTCAAGTAGGCCGTCACCTAAGCTAGAAAACGAAAACGGATTGACGCTAATAAAATTATGACGAGAGAGAACCAGACACGATGGGAGGTCGGATTGATGAAAAAGGAGCCCAGTGGAAGCAGGTTAATTGGACGACCAAGATTAGGATAGGAGAACGACTTCAAGACTTTTGCAGATGTGGACTGGAAGAGCAAGGCGACAACTTAAGAATGGGTTCAGAGCATAACCCGTTTCTCTGCTCATGTTAGATGTCTAGCGAAAATAAATATTTAAATAAATATGAGTTGCTCACTAAAGCCACCGTTTTTTCCTAGAGTGTAAAATTTTCCATAATGGTGGTGGATTCAGCAGATGAATTACCTACCTGTTTCTGCTAATCTGGGTCGATTTGTGGGGTGACCCTCATGAAGTGTGACGCAGAAAACTAGCAATAAGTTTATACAAATTCAACAGAGGTATACAGTCTCGGAAATAGGAAACATTTACTTCTATGTAATCATCACAAAATTGTAAACAACATATTACATCTCACATTCAGATTGGCCACCTTTCGCTTTAATACAAGCATCCAACCTCTTTAGGAAGTTTTCAAGAATGCGCGCAATTGCTTTCATCCCACGCTTCTACAAGAGAGCCTTTTTTCAGATAGTCCAAAAATCTGGGTTTTGAAGCGCAGATTTTTTGCTCCAGTCCACACAGGAAAATCCAAAGGATTGAGATCGGGGGAGCTTGAAGCTTAAAACTCCTTCGCCCAAAAACCTGGAAGCATGGTCTCACACCACCGCAGCATCTTCTTTGCGCTGTGGGCTGGTGCCCTATCCTGCTGAAAGATTCAGCTGACGTTCATCGCGTTCTTTTCCACCCAAAGGATCACCNCATCCTCAGCCCAAGAGCCCATAAGACGATTTTTTTATTGCCCGTCACAATTCATGTGGGTGTGGGTGTATACCTTGCGTTTAATTGCAGGAAGGAGAAGGTTCACTCCACGGCGCATCACAATGGAAGACGTCGTTGTGTAAGGGTGAAGGGTTAAGCTGGCCCACTCGAATTTGCTCCTGTTCTCTCCACGTATACGCTTTTATCAACCTGATCCTTTGAATATTAAAGCTCACCTAAGAGCGCTTGTTGAGCAACCCATGTGAACGTATACAGATTCGGAATACCCTCTATCTTGTCGCCTTCGTCAACTTTCCAAATAAAGTCATAATTCTTGAACGTTTTTGCAACTTCGGTTATTGCATCGCGAAAGTATTTGGGCATCTGAAACAAACCATTTTCTGGCACACTCTTCCACACTTTTCTATTTTTCAAATCTCTCTAATTTCACCTTAATCGTTGGTACAGCTGATCCGAATGAGATATATACAACACCTGCTCTAGTCTGCTCCATAATTTGCTGTAAATCCTGGAAATAACAGAAGTGAGTAGACTCAAAATTTCGAATTGTAGACATATTCGAAGAACGGCATATTTTGAAATATGTAATACCTTAGATAGTGGACCTGTCTCTTTCAAGGCAATCCCACCAACATGGACTATTTTCGGGGACGTCGGGCGGCCAAACTCGAGAAATTCGTCAGAATTTGTCAGCAAGTAGTTGGTTTTGCTTTTGTAATACTCGTCATCGGTCGAAACGCCGTGGCGGCTCCACACTTTCTGAATTTAATAAGTGGTAGTGTTATAAATGCAATTAATATGCATAATCGTCATAAAGAAACTCATTGCTAGTGGAAGTATCTAATTCTAAGTTAGCTTTGCAAATATATACCAAATCAGTGGAAATTGCCAGAACGTAGTTCATGAGAAAAATGTTGGTTTAGTGTTCGATGTTTGCCGCATTTTATATGTAATTTCAAAAATCATATCTCTAATGGTACTTCTTCTGTGAAGTTCTTGTACCACACTATTACAGAAAGGACGTATTTTTAATATTGTAAAATTTTTTCCCCAAAAAAAGCATTCCTATTATATCGGTTTTTGAGGGAATGTTTATAAATGGATGGATTTACCAACTAAGGCTTATTATGTCCATGTTTCACAAAAAAGGAACCGCACTGCTTAACAAGCCATAAATGGCAACTCTTATGAACTTCGAGAAAGCTGTACGAAGTCGTGACATGAAGTTACGAGTTACTGTACATAGCCATGACGCAGATATAATTACTGTTATATACTTTGATCTCTGTAATACCTTTTAGACTAGAGATCCCCAAGGGAAGTAAAGGTAGCACTCATAAGTTATACCTCATACCTTATGAAGCTCGTGAAGTTCCCGATGTATCTAAACCCTCCTTGACTCAAACAATGGTACATTTCGATGATTTCGATCAAGAGCCCCTAATACAGGATAGATGCTCATTTGATCAGTTAAACAAGTGCTGTATTCGGAACTAGCTTAAAGCCAGAATGAAGACTTGGCAGACTCTTGAGTTGATGGCTAGAAGACCACTGAACCACTGGGAGGAACACAGGTTGGGCTTTGCTCGTCTGAACTATGTTTCTGCTTTCATAGTCCGCCGGCCGGCGGACTATGAAAGCAGCCATAGAGGTGGTTAAGAAAAGGTTGTGGCTAAGAACCAAACATGTTTCTGTTACCCTTTTTTACGATAATACCACATGTTTACCTTATAATTCCTTCCAATTTCTGCTGAAACAAAATCCGCAATCATCGCCACAACAAAGTTGATGGTCCTTTCTACGAAATTCATTCGACTATTGTAAGGCAGAAGAAATGCTGCAATGGAGCTGCTTGTTTTATCTGTACGGAAAATTTGCAATAACAAATATAGCAGTGAACAGGATGAGAGTTTCTCATATTTTATACCAGTCGGGCCGCCCGGCTAACGCTGGGCTTCCCTCCTTCTTTGACAAAGTTGTAGTGATTCGCTAACTCTCCACCCCTTCTTCGAGGCAAATGATATTTTCCTGTATACGAAGTTTGACACAGGACTAACAGGGTATTGGTATTCAGTGAAAGTCGGTACTTATTTCTTTAATTGGGAATCTCGATCTTTTGCTTTCGTTCTTGAAGATGAATACCCAAGAAAGATCGAACTATTAGGTAACCAAAGCTTTGGGCGGTACACACAAATATTTCGTGTAATGATAACACCTTTATCAGATATTATCAATGATCCTTTTACTCCACAGAGATAACATCAGTTAAGAGTTCCAAATAACTGGTGGTCGCTTAGTTTTGTCGCAAATGATATCGAACGATGAGGATCCTTCATCAAGTCACAAACCTTGCTGGGTAGCGGTCGTAATCTAATAGTATGAAATGGACAAAGTTCTAATCTGCATATCTTAATGCCGCTAATGGGTTCCTATAACTGCACTTACCACTTCTTTTGTCACCCTACTATACCATATCATCTTACCGAATGAAACATACTGAACAGCCAAAGCTACATCATAAATACGGAAGGGTTGAAAATTTGATCGGTAGGTGGCTCTTGCTCTCTTAGACCCTTTATCTTCTTTTGCTCGGTTATTGTCGATTCCTGTCACAGAGTACCTAGGATTCCGTCATATCCTACACCACTTATCAAAAACTCGAGGTTCTACTGTCAATACGAAAAGCTGTAAACTACCATATTTGAACTCTCTAGGTACACAGAAACAGAAGTTACGATTCGCTCAAATGTTACTCTGCACAAACCCCGCCCTTACCACATGCCATGAATGTTCCCATGCTGCTCCCTGTACTCCTACCGAATTTGAGCTCTCTAGGTACACGGGAANAGGAGTTATGAATTTCCGGTAAAACACACACACCGACACACCAATAGACACACTTAGCGAATTATATAAAGTAGGATAGGGTATAGTTCAAAGAATACTATAAAACAAAACTTACACGGTACAATGCTGGGAAATTTTGGTACATCAAATAAATCACCCATTGTATCAACCATACCCAATGACGAGGCCGTAATTATGTGGTCAATACCGATTTTCTGAAAAATGTTGTAAAAAGTGATTCATAGTCATTAAGGTTCGTCAGCGGACCGTTAGAAGATCTTGAGAAATGATTTTGTTCACGGCCACTGGATAAGCGGAAGGGTAAGTAACCATACTCGCCGTTTACCTACGATCTGTCGTGGCTTCCGCTCAACTTGTTCGGGGTCCCGGCGCGCACAGCGTATCGCGCTGCGCGTCGGCTATACTCGACGCATGCTCTGACCTAAAACCGGCAGTGTGTCTGCATTCGTCGTCGTATCTGGCCGCCATCCGTCATCCTGCCGTCGTACCCGCTCGAGGGTGTAAGTATGTTGCAATCTGGTTGAATACGAAGTGATCGACCTGGTTGAATGCGAAGTGATCGACTCGGGCATGAAAGCCCGAAGGCGCCGAGCGGTCCCAAGTCACGTCGCCCCCGTGAGAACTAGCGTACTGGGTTCAAGCGATACGTAGGTTTACTGGTTATCATCCTAGTTTTAATTGCTTACTGTTTTCTTTTATGTACATATGTATATAAGATGTATTTACTTTTTTATCGTTTCTTCCCTTTGACGTATTACTACTATTCTTTTTATTGGCGTACCATGAAGGACTGCGTATAATATTGTGTTGGTAGTTCATCTATCTGGTTTGATTGTTGAAGTTGGGCTGTGCGTAGGCTATCCAGTGTTGCAAGACGTAGCACGCGTAGGGTGAAGGTTGGAGTGTAGGACCAGCGTAGGGACTGCAAGGGCCAAAGTAACATCGTGCGTAGCAGACGGAGCGAGGGCGAACACAGCGTAAGACCCCGATCAGGCAATCACACCAACGGTGACGCCGCGTCTAAGCGGCGGACTCCGATTCCAACGTATTGCGAGGAGCAAGGAGTCTCCGTCGGCGCGACATGATCTGACATTTGGTAAAACACGGCTTCATGGCTGAAATTTCTGGTAATATATTGTTGATGGGTTTGTTTTTGGTTTTTGTAGATCAAAATCCTGTGATGACGAGTAATCCACTCAGGCAAATTTTTTGATAATATACTCTGCGAGATTGTTCTTCTCTTTTAATTCCATTATTTGTTTTGACAAAAATACTATGCGGTAGAAGTTGAAAATCAGCGATAACGAAAGCGCCTTTGATCCCTATCAACCGTCGAAGTGAAGCATCTTTGATTCCAGTAAACCTCGCGCAATCTAATGGAATTCGCTTGATTTGGGGCAAGAGAAATTTCTTTCGCCAAGAAAACTCATAAGAAACGACTCAACTGACAGCCAGTTGAGTCTTTATCAATTCAACGCTACCCAGATTTCTGCGCCAAAATTACTACTAACCCCAGTATTTATAGAACTCGATCGAATAATCATCTGCTGGCAGTCCATATTCAGTAAGGCACCAACGACGAAGAAACTCCAACTTACTCCAACAACACAATGTGATAACCTGGCGACTTACATAGAAAAGACCGAAACCGCAGGCACCGAGCATTTCGGTGATGCCCGCATCGAATCGTTCATTCGCCAACATCTGCATCGTGGCGTTATCACCGAGCAGCACTAAAAAGTTACATTTAGCGAATAATCAAATTTTGGCAACCAGGTGTTCTCAACGCTTCTGGAATGTTTAAACTTCAGAGTTAATGAAAAAGGAGTTCTTATCAGTGTGTTTGTTTCGAGTTTTAAATTTTACCGGAAGTTACAACTGCAATGCGTTTCATAAGTATAAGATCACCCTCAAATTTGTGTTTACAGGATAAGAAGCCAAACAGATAAGTTTTAAGCATCACTTCAGCACCCACCACCCTGAACAACCCGCACGAACGGACGTTTTTTGAATCAACTTCTATCACAACATTTTATAAATAATTTTTGATTTCTGCGCCATTTCAAAGGTATAAGATCCCTTTGAGGATTTGAAAAAAAATCATCACTAGTGACGACAAAAAACATTCAGTAGTTGATGGGTCTTCCTTGTTCAAGCCCAATATCGAATTGCCTAAATGGCATAATCGGAAAAAGGTTCCGAAAGACCTCATCGGAAATTCCATTCCGAGATTCAAGTGCTGCCTGCGTGAGCTCTTCTATCGACTGGAGCTGACGGTTGTTCGCATAAATCTTCTTTACAATGATGCTCCAGAAATTCTTCACTGGGTTCAGATCGGGGCTGCAAGCTGGCCATGTCAGAACTGGAAGAGCAACCAGTCTATAGTGGGATGACTGGCATGACGTGAACCACAGCACTGTCCTGTTGAAAAACGTAGTTAAGACCACGTCGCTGACTCAGAAATGGCACCAGGTACTATTATAAGACTTCCTGAAAGCTACTGGAGTCCATTTGGAGGTCACGAGAGCAAGCTCCAGCCCGACATCTTTGCTGAAAGTACCCCGTACTATGACACTTGTTTCAAATTTGTGACGACTAGATTTGATCGGTTCATAAGTCATGCCAGTAGTAGTTGTAATTATCGGAGCCGTCCAAATTGACTTTCTTTCCATCGAAAAATACGGGTTGAACGAGAATATTGGAATGTGTGACTAATCGGTAATACAGGCTGACTTCCGTCCAATCTCATCCCAAATTCACCTTCGCAAATTCAAGTCGTGCCTTCCTGTGGTGGTAGGTAAGCCTCGTAGCCCTCTTCAATGCTGCCCTGACAATGCTGCTGCTCCTTTTCACGGTTCTCCATTCAGTAGCTTTGGACACCGAGAGATCCAACTCCGAGTAGAACCTGCTTCAACGGCAAGGTTCTGCTCGAAATAGCTCTTAACATTCTCCTCTCGTCGTTCGCGCTTAGCTTGTGCGGGCATCCTGTCCCCGTGTGGCTCTGTAGTCTTCAGATATCTCTGAGCGGATGTGGGGGATCTCACGATTCTCCTCCTGATTGCCAGCGCACTGAACCCCGTATGACGAAAATTCAATTTTGTGCTTCTTCCTCAAAAAAAAAAGATGACCTCAGCGAGGTAAAGTTCCTATTGCTTCCAAACAAACTTGCGACACATTCTCTGCTAGAGAAATCCCTCCAAGTGCAAGTTCTGCTGCACTTGATTTCGAAACCTTCGTGCTGTCGCGGGTGGTCTTATACTTATGAAACGGCAAAAATTCGAAAGTAATCTATATAAACGTTAATATAAAAGTTGAACAAATCAAAGCATATGGGGTTATTGAAGGTGATGAATCTAATGGTGGTGCCAGAAAGATATCTGCTTGGTTGCTTATCCTGTGAATACATCCGGGGGTGATCTTATACTTATGAAACACACTGTAGACAATAGAGAATTTCTTGTCTCTGATTAACCCTGTTTCAGGATGCATCCACGCATTCGATTTCCATTGAAAATTGTATTCGCGTTTGCTTGCGCACATGACCTATACAATGACTTTCGGCCGTTGAAAGGTATGCTTTTACATGTCCAAAAGGTGGCGAAAGGAAATATAGGTGAGAGACCTTTGGCCATACGACTACCAGTGCAGGGCGCCGCTTTCCTTCACATTCTCACCATTACAAGCATGGTTTGATGATCGGATTCTAGATTCTTCAGCATCGGAAATACCAAATTCGCATGTTATTTTGAGCGCACTGACTTTAGAAGCTGCTCATTTCCGCATTTTTTTATTAAAGGCACGGTTCACGATTAAAAAGGTTACTGAGTTCTTCTTTTAGGAATACTCAGGGCCCGCCATGGGTGGTAGAAGGGACCCTCTCGCTCCCACAATCTCGGCGCTTAGGGCATAGTGGAAGCCCTGTTGCTGCCATAGTTCGCTTTCCCGCCCCTTGATCGGTGTCGCGTTAGACGAGTGTCGAGACAATACAGAGTGTAATTATTCGTTCTAGAACCCACGCACAATCAGCTGATCGCCGGGTGATGAGGCG